GACCTGCTGAATCAGAAACTCAGGGGTGGGACCCAGCAACACGTGTGTACACTCCCTCCAGGTGTGCTACACGTTCAAGTGTGAGACACCCCACCTCCATGCTCACGGTTTGCATGTGTTGATCCTCCCCTCCTTGTACTCTTGTTTCCCGTGATGTCTTAAGCTTATGTTTGCCTTTTACTGCAATCTGTACTTACTTGTAAATAGCTAGCAGCCTACAGCCTCGCTAAGAAGCAGGGGAATTAACTTGCCCACCATCGTAAGTGCCTGCGCCCTGAGATGAAGCCAGGGACGGACACCAGGTCCCCCCTCCTCAGACTAGATTCCAGGCCGCTGGAGAGCTGGAGACACAGTTTCATGTTTCCACTCCAACCGCCGCCGCCACCGCTCCGGGTTCAGGTTGCTGTGGTCACGCCCCCACCGCGTGCTTCCTCGTGAGCTGGGGTGGGGGTGGGGGGCTGAGTATAGGCGGGGCGCCCTCTTCAGTTGCACCGTGCACGTGCGCGCCTGGGGGGGCACGCGCGCTGGGGGCTGCCCCGCCCCCTCCCTCCCTGGAGGGTAAACTCAGGGCATCCATCAGTCGGTTAATTGCACTAATTAGAGTTCGTGGAGGTGTTAATTGGAAAACCCTGGTATTGTGCCTGTTTGGGGAAGAAAACGTCAATAAAAATTAATTGATGAGTTGGCAGGGCGGGCAGCACGGGTTCGCGACGAGGCGCAGGGTGTCGTGGCAAATGTTACCGCTCAGATTAAGCGATTGTTAATTAAAAAGCTACGGCCATTAATACTCCTTACACCATATGGGCTCACGGCAAGGCATAAAAGGTTTCTCCACGTGCAGGGCTCGCAGGTCTTGTTTCCCCTCCCCCACAAGCCCCATCCCTAGCCCCCCAGGTTGCCCCCTTGGCCCCAGGGTGGGTGCATCTCCTCTCCTCACTGGGGAGGAGATGGAGCAGGTCCAAATAAGTTCGAAGGGCTTTGTTTATTGTGCACCCCTCGAGCCAGGAGCCTAGAGGGGAAGTGGGAGTCCCCAGTAGCCCACAGGCCCCCACAGAGCGGAAGTCGCAGCTGTGGCACTAACCCGGCTTCCGTCCTTCCCACAGTGCCAATGGGATCCCTGAGGCTGAGCAGCAAGAGGTGTCCTGGCTCCCCCAAGGGGTACCCAGAGGAATAGGAACCCAGAACCCACCAAAGTGCAGGCCAGAAGATAGTGGGGAGCCCGACAAATGCATGATGGCAGGGGGTTCTAAGAAGGCTGGAGTGGGCTGAGAACCCTAGTGTCAGCGAATCCTGGAAAGGTTTCCGGGTCCCCCACCTTATTTGCCCCAGTGACTGCAGGGTAGTGACTTGCTCAAGGTCACCTAGCCGGGCCCTGAAACCAGATGATGGAATTCTCAGATGTCTCCTCCCCATCCTTTCTACTGCTGCTTGTGAAGGAGGACACTTGTGGGTGGGGATGTGGAGAGACGCAGAAGGACCAGCCAGAACTCTTGGAGGGAGCACTCTAATACCAGAGCAGGTGGCTCAGGTCTGGACTGAGACTGGGGGTCACAACTGTGGAGCAAACGGACCCTCCGTGGTTCCCACCAGCCACCAGAACGCTGGCTTCCTGCCCACATGCTAGACTAGAGGTTTCATTTCCTTGAGCTGCCGGTCAGAGGCGCCCTCCAAGAACATCTTTCCATGCAGAGGGGAGAAAGCCAAGGGACAGAGAAGGGAGCAAAGGACTCACAGATGACTAGTGTCTGAGCCCGGGCTGAGACCTGACTTTCTGCCTCCTGCTACACGAGCTTGGCATTCAGGGCACTGATATGATAGCAAGGCCTGCCCAGTACCCCCTCATGACCCGGGCTGGCTGGGTCCCAGGCTCCCAGTACTGGTTGCACACCAGTGGGAGACTGTTGCTATTCTCAAGTTAAAGGGCCAGTGTCTCAGTGCGGAGATCACCTGGGAGCACCTGTCAGGCAGGTTGGGGGGAGGGGATTAGGTGGGTGGATGGGATCATCATCATGGAAGGAGGTATACGGGGTGTGTGGAGTGTGTGTCATCCAGAGCGAAGGCCCTGGGAGGGGGCAGAGCGTGCCACATGGGAATTAATGCCATTCATACACCCTGCGGAAATGACTTTTCAAATGCATATAATCTCGAGCATGCAAATGAGAGGCTTGCTTCACCCTGTTTAATATGAATGATCGGCCGTTGAATAGCTATTATTACACACCACATTGCCGCAATTATGTTGTTCCCTGGGTGTCACTCTGTTACTCCCCCCCCCCCAAAGGGACATCTCTGTTTGCATCCTCCTCTTTTTTTCCCATCCCAAACTTGTCCTGTGATCTATAACTTTATGGTGAACGGGTGAGTGTTGAAGGGGGGTGGCACTCTTACCCCAGAGAAGTGACTGAATTCTGCGTCCTCTCTCTCTCTATCTCTGAATCTCTAGTCTTTGTCCCCTGGGGCCCAAGAGTTCTCTTGATCTCAGAGAATCTTGACTCGGATTCAGGGCACACAGCTGCTCTCTCGATCCTCCAACAGGACCATGGTTGGGGGCGAGGGGGCCAGGGTCACTCCTTGCCGTCTTCCCAGTCCCCTCCTGTCGCCCAGGCCCAGACCTGAGTGGGGAGGGCAGGTGTTCTTGGCCTTGTAGGAAACAGGGGGTGGGGGGGCCTCCGGGGGCCTGGCTGAGTTGGGGGTGGGGGGGCTGGAGCCCTGTCCTCTGGTGGATGGAGCACGGTGCCTGCCTATCCATCATGCTGCGGCCACTGGCCCTCAGGCTGACACGGCCATTAAGGCCTGAGACCAAGTGCTCAATCTCTTCCGAACCATCGCCCCCAGCCTCACCCGCACCCCAGCCCAGCTCCTCTTAGAACCCGGAGTGGGAGCACCAGTGGAGGTGGGTGAGGGGAGTAGGCGCTTGGGGAACACATAGCATGAAGCTTCCCGAACATA